GGGTTTTTTCTGTTTATATTATGTATTTTTTTATAGACATAGCAATTAATATATCAATCGACATATCAATATCGGTTCATAAATTTGAAACTTTTTTTGTGGTATACTTTTCTTTTCTTTTTTATGTTGCTTATGTCGGCAAATATCTTTTTATCGGAACCCTACATGAGAATTTGAAAGAAATAAATCGAAGGGATTTGATTTGGTTTTCATATAATTGGTGAGATTTATGAACTAACCTTTGACATTAAAATCACTTAAGACAAAGAGTTGTTCTAATGGGGCAAATGGGTTGGATTTATTTGTTGACTCTCTTTTCAATTTTCTTTTTGTCTATTTTTACCTAATGAGTTAGTTTTCTTGTTGGTTGTTATTTTTAATTGACTTCAATATTCATAGTTGACTTGGTTTTATTAACTTTGACATTCTATTTACATGAAAACTTCGTAGTAAAAGAAAATTTCAAGTGGAGTATTGGTTAATTCACTTGGTTAGATCTCTTAAAAGTCTTCGAATTTCCTTAGAACGGTATCTATTTGGTTTCTGATTCGAAAACATAATTTTCAAAAACTAAATATGATCAAATTTATGTTAAATATTGATTTAAAAACCGTTTTATTTATTATTATTTATTTTTATCCGGTTAGTTTACGCGTACCTCAACAAATTCTTCGATCCTGAAGTTAACAACTAGTAAACCTTTAGTGACTATCTTTATTAGCAATTGAGGAAAATTAAACTCATAATCTCTTGAATAATATACCCAAGAGTCTCTATTCGACCATTCGACACCCTAGGGGTGGTTTTAATTTCTGATTTACTGTATGTCTAGAATTGTATTCGAAAACGTTTCAACTCATTTCCATAAAAAAGTTTTCATAAGATTTTTTTTATATCCATATTTTGGAAAAAAAACTGTATATATATTTTATATTAAACACCCTAACTAGGGCAAAAGAAAACTGTATAAATAGGACACATCAATATTTCTCTCTAAAAGTTGTCATAAGATTGTCATTGAAATATCCTTTTCTTTATCTTACGGTAAAATGATAATAATAATAAATAAATAAAATTCAGTTTTGTCATACCCTTTTTACTGTTTTACTCTATAATTGAATAAAATTTTGCGGTGGGAAAGGGGAAGAATTTAAGAATTCACTTTAAGTGAATTCTCTGATCAATTATAAAAACTTACCTTATTTATTATCTTACAAGATTTGGATTGAGACACCGAATCTAATGGCTATGATGCTCAAATGTGCATGATGCACCCCTCAATCCTGCCACATTTCAATATTTTATTTATGACAAAATTTATGAAAATATAGGGTTTAGTTTTAGTCACAGATTACTGTTCATAGCGGTATGAATATTAAATGTTTATATCTTAAATTGAATATATAGTAAATATAAGTTTTTTTTTTTTTTTTCTTGTTTTAAAATATTAATACACATGAATTAATAAATAAAAATATATATTACACAGGGAAGTCTTGTTTATGTAATTTAAAACTAAAAAAATCATGTATTTTCATTTCTAAAAACTAAACCTTTTTCTCGTTTTAAAATAGGGGGGTGGTGCATGCCAGTTTTAATTTAATTTATAAGGATAATATTTTGTAATTTATAAGATAATATTTATGAACCTTATATTAATACTAAATTTTTATAAAACTAATTAATTTTGAAACATAAATATCCAACACTATAAATATTTTTAGAAAATACTTATATACCTTTGAAAAATACTTGTTTCCCTAATTATTATATAAATTACATCATTTTGTTGTCATGAATCTATAAACTTTCCAGTTTCAATCCTAATTACAAGTTAATATGTAATAGAACTTTGTTTTCTCCTAGATATAATTAAATAAATAAAAGAATAATGTAAGAATTTTGGAAATCATCTAGCTCTTTAGAAGATTGTTAACAACCAAAAGAAAAGTCCAAACTCTTGATATTTAATTTATATTAAATTTTGTATGCATGTTTAGGTAACATACTACTAGATTGTCAAAATTGTCAGATTAGGCATATTTTTTTTGTTGCTATTTTTCCACCATATTTTCTTGAAAATGAGCCCTATTGCATATTCAACTTTGGCTGGTGAATATTGTCAAAAATAAAAAATATAAATATAAAATAAAAATATTGAATTTGCTTCGAGATCCAAAATATTTTCTGTTGTTTCTACATTATAGATGATAGAGGAGGAATCCCATTTACTAATGATTTAGACAGATCTTTGGATTAGCAATGGAAATATTTAATTTGATGGGTAAATTTAATTCAAATTGATTTAATTTGATGGATTTTTTTTTTTTTTTTTGAAACTAATGATTTTTATGCATTAAATTATTACATTATGTGTTACAAAGCAACTAAAGTAATCAACATATATATATATATATTGCTTGATCCATCGTATATATAATTCAACCCACATGAAAAATTATGAATTAGTCTAATCTATTATGTTAACTAGAATAGACTAAATATTTTCAAAACCTATAAGCATGAATAAGTTAATTTTAAAAATAAATCCATTGATTTAACAAAGGAACATCACATTAGCGAGACCAAAAACTATATAAAATACAAAGAAATGATATCTGGTTGGCGTTTTGAATTAGTCTCATTAATCCAAACTTTAAAAAGAGTAATTAAATAAGCTTTGAATCCCATTACTTTACATTTTTAATACATTTGAATAATAAAATAACAAGACAGATAAAAGTATAGTCTTACGTCATTTTAAATACCACATAAAAAATCAATTATTTTAAAACAAGGAAATTGTTTACTAGGTTTTAACTTTTTTTTTTTTAAATGATCGGAGTGTCTGGACTAGCTTATTTTCTCTCATACTTTTTTGGGACCTTGAAACTATCGACTAGTAAAAACTTCAGTGACTGTTCCTATTAACAATCAATAAAAACTTAAACTTATAATTTTTTGAGTATATATCCAAGAATCTATTAGAGTTAAACATTATTTTTAAGTCTCATTAATTTTTAAAGATAACATATCTTTGATAAAAGAGTCCCAAAACGTAAAAAATAATTACTTGCTCGTTTTGGAGATGGTGTGGAGATTTCTTGCTTTCACATTTTCATAACCTTTAATGTTTTTGTTACTCTTCGAATTTGAAGAAGAAGAGCTGCAGCTCCATCCATGGGATGTGTTACTCAACATTTGCATGCGTGCATGCACCCCAAAAAAGGAAAGCAAAAAAAAAAAGAAAATATTCGACATTTTTTTTTTAACTGGGTTGGCGTGTTCACTGTTCATCGATCTCTTTGCCCTAAATTTTTGAACCGTACTGCTCTATATTTATCTTTAATTTCATTAAAAAATTTGGGTTGTGTTGTTTCATATGGTATAGTTTTATATCATGAAATACGTTGTAAAATAATATAATATATTGATCACTTTAAAACGTTTTCTGAAAACATAATAATGAAATTAAATTAAGGGTGGGTTTTTTTTTTTTTTAAGTTAAATACTCTGCCTACTGCTGTATTATATGTATTTATGTTGATTAGCCATTTAAGTTAAGACCTACCAAATATTTTTATAAATTTCCCTTAAAAGGGGGAAAAAGAATGAAGCATATCTTTGATTAACTTTTCAAATAATCATAATTTATTATTTTTATTTTATGTTTGAATGACTTATATGTATTAGTTTATGACAAAATTAATTGCTTAAAGTTAATTTTTCCTTCAATTAAGGAGTGGCTTCTACCCATTATCTTAACGTTGCAAATAATTTACAACAAGGTCACCATTCAATTTCATGTTCCCCTCAATGCTAAAATGCAAAATTTGAGGCAAACATATGCAAAAGAACAATTAGCAAATCTATAAATATTGTTGCTTGCATAATTTAATTTGGAGACATAAAGTGTTTAGAAAATCAAGATAAACCCTTCTTCTATGTGGGTTGTTTGGTTTAATTTAGAATGTCCTCTCTCACCTAAAATTTATATGTGTTGGACATCGACTACTTAATGATATGTATATTTTAACCTTTTATCGTTTTGTTTGACACGCTAAAAATGTATTACAACATGATTTTTTTTTTTGATAATTGAGACGTTCGAACTAGTTTGCACAATACCTTATAAATCCAATGAGTTAACCCACAAACAAAAAACTTTAGGTAATTCATCAAGATGGTTAAAGTTTTACCATCCGACTACAAGTTTAATAGTTTCTATAACATGATTATCAAGTGCATTTGTCATTGCAACGCTCCATCAAGCATCTATGATCTACCATGATACTCACACTACTTGATATTCTATTCTACACATGTTCGGTAATATTTTCATCATACTTTCAAATTAACTAGACTTTAAAAAAAAAAAAAAAAAGTTGGAATAAATATCTTCCAGAAACCCCCAAATTATAATAAATATTCTTTTTATTTCTTAAAATACAAAAGAAAAAAAAAGAGAGACAACGTACAACACAAAAGGTAAATAGAGAAGTCTTAAGAGGAAATGGTTCCAAAAGAAGTGTGAGATTATCTAGGCTTATGGGGTCCAGTAAACTTCCCATTAACTACTTGTCTTTTGAATAGCCGGAAAGAACTCCGTATCCTATGCCTTTTTATTTATCTTCGTCAAACTCTCTTTCCAAATATTCTAAAGCTCTAAACTTTGTAACATTAATCTCTATTTTGTCTTTACCCTTCAGCCTTCAAACAGTGATTCTTAGTACTTTTCCAGTGAGATAAAATACAAAGACCTGAAAAAAAGAATGTTATCAGAACAAAAACTAACTTAAAATCAAGATTTTAGAGTGAGCTTGAGGATTTGTACCTTATTTTTTTATGTCTCTTGGGGACATTAATGGTGCCTTGGAGTTGATGCAAATGGTGGGTTCATTTTCAAAGTCAACCCACAAGAGATGAGTGAAGAGGGAAGAGAGTGTTTTATAAAAATGTTTTCTTTTTTCACCATGTTGCATGAAGTTCAGAGTAAAACTTTTTATTTTGTTTAGCAGTTTAAATAACTCATTTATTTTTCTGCACTGTTTGGTAGATTTATTGGTTGCCGGTCTTTGTTTTTGAAAGCTCAGCTTCTGATCTCATTTATATCACATTTTCAATTCACATTCAATTCTTTCTCTTTCCCTCTCTCCTTTCCTGTCTCTTTGTGCATTTGACTTTCAGTTTCCTTTTATACAAGTTTAAAAAAATTGGATTTTTATTATCAAAATGCCTGCTTTTGTATTTTTATTTTACACCCACATAAAGTTCTAAACTTAAAAATGGGTTTGGGGTTGGATTTTGTTTGTAGCACCGACTGGGTTCATTGAAAGCATATGATTTTCCACAAAAGTTTCAATCTTGGTGAGATTTTGTTCACAAAATATGGGTTGGTTTCACCTTGAAATCAAGGAAAACTCCATTCTTTCTCCTTCATTGCAACCATATTTTATCCCTCAGCCACCACCACCACCAGCACCTCCACAAAATGTTAATGATGGTTTCAGTTTGAACAATAAGGTCAGTCCAAGTATTTTGCTTATCATTATAATTCTTGCTATCATTTTCTTCGTTTCTGGTTTGCTTCATCTTTTAGTTAGGTTTCTTTTGAGACCTCCCAGTAGAGAACCTGAAGATTTAGATAGTGTAACTGCTCTTCAAGGGCAATTACAACAACTCTTTCACCTTCACGATGCTGGAGTTGACCAGTCTTTTATAGACACTTTGCCTGTGTTCTATTACAAGTCCATTATTGGACTCAAGAACCCTTTTGATTGTGCTGTTTGTTTGTGTGAATTTGAGCCTGAAGATAAGCTCAGATTGTTGCCAAAATGTAGCCATGCCTTTCACATGGAGTGTATAGACACATGGCTCTTGTCGCACTCCACTTGCCCTTTATGTAGAGCTAGTTTGCTCCCTGATTTCTCTTCAAACAATAGTTGTTCTCCCATTGTTCTTGTTCTTGAATCTGGGGGTGAGAGCTCTAGAGAGATTGTTGCCGATAGAGAAAGTGCTAATTTAGGCAGAACAAGTTCAGTTCTTAGAACAAATTCCCATCTTGGTTGTCGTGGAGACAGTGAATTTGGGTCATCCCAGATTGATTATACTCAAAAATCTTTTGAAATTTTATCAAAAGAAGATGGAAATGGAATTCCCCCACCACCTGCAACAGTTGTTGTAGATTCCGGGGAAAAAGTTGTGCCGGTTAAACTGGGAAAGTTCCGAAATGTGGATGTTGCTGAAACTAGTAGTACTAATAATATTGATGCTAGAAGGTGCTTTTCCATGGGGTCTTTTGAGTATGTAATGGATGATAATTCTTCATTGCAAGTGCCAATAAGAACCCCCATGAAGAAACAGGCTAGCAAGAAGCCTTCTTTGCCGCTGACGCCCGGTCACAGGCCAGCTATGTCTGAATGTGATTGTGAATCGAGAAGGGAATTCAGTGGCTTCGATGCCTTTAAAAGCCTTGAAACTAATTTTGGTGCTAGTATTAGCGCTAGCAAGGGCAATGCTGTTGGGAGGAGCAGAAAGGATCGGGATAGCTTCTCGATATCAAAAATTTGGCTTCGAGGTAAGAAGGAGAAGCAGAATTTGCCAGGGGATTCATCGAGGAGGGCTTTCTCATTCCGGTTTCCAGTGACTAGAAATGTTGCTGGTACTGCTGACGACGGGGATGTGAAATCGAAGAATTCAAATGCTGGTGCAAGGAGGACTGTTTCAGAGATTGGCATAGCTAGATGGGAAAATGGAGGAAGCGAATTTGGGCGCAGCGACGTGGAAAATCAAAGCTGTGGCAGTGTAGATTTGCAGGCAAAGACACCATCTTTTGCAAGGAGGACTCTACATTGGCTGTTGGGAAGACAAAACAAGGTTGTTGATTCACCCTTTACACCAAATATTTAGTTTCTTTACTTGTTTATTTTCTTGGATTCATTTTCCAGGAAAAGTTGTGTTATAATTTCTTCATTGTGCAAGGCAGAATTGGATGATTGTAGAAGGAAAAGGAAAGAAAAAAAAAAGAAAGCTGAATACATAGTTGCATTCTCACTTGAACATGTTTGCCTTTGACAGCCTTATTAGATGCTCAAAATCTGATTGTTCTTTATAATTGTCTTCTTACTTTTGTCTTCTCCATTCCATGTTTGTTTTGCCTTTAAACATCAATCTCTCTGTTGCCTAAATAAAATTTTCCAAAATCTTGGCATTTTTCATTTGGCGAATGCATTCACCTTCATTAAGCACCATATTTTTGGTTTCTATACTAGAAAATTACGCTGCTACAGATATATGTGCATTCAACCAATCAAAAGTTTTATGTTCGTTGGATAGAAGCTTTTCTCTGTTTCGAGAACTTCTCTGTTTCGAGAACATATAACTTGAGTTGAATCCATGGTAAAATTTGATGAGAGGAGGGAATCCATTTAGGTCACAAACAGATTTAATAGCCTTATTTCCATTAATGTCTGGTATTCTCCATTTTTAAATGTAACAGCAGTAAATGCAAATACTTATTAACCCAAATATAAAAAACTGCAATAAATTTGCCTCAATAACCACACAAAATAAATTGAATCTCCCAGAGTGAGTTGAATGAGAGTCATTAATGTGATATCTATCACAAACTGAAAAGAGGAATCAAAATTGAATTTGAAATTGGTGCCAACTGCTCATTAATTATGTCTTAAATAATTCTCTTCCAACTTTAGCAGGAATTGCCAAGTAAGGTCATTGTGGTTACAGGCTGTGGCATTTAATAGAGGCAACAAATTTTAATGTGATTCACAAAGATTTCTAGGTGGTATTGAGGGACTAAACATTAAAGGCTGATGTTAATAAGGCCATGGAGAGTTGTTGTGTGGGCTTTGTCTTTGTGTTATTCACTTATTTGTGACACCTACCCACCATTTCATGTGATTGTCCCTAATTATTTCTTTATTTGTTTTAGGGTTGGACTTAAATTTGTATTCTATATGATCAATCTTACCCTACTTGAAGTGGGTTTAATTTGAAATTTAGGGTTTAAAGTAGGGATGATAATGAGACGGGTTTGAAATGAGGGTATAATTATCAAACTTCAATGCACGCGCATATACGCATTTCATATGTGAGAGAGAAAGTTGTAATGGAAAAACGTAAGTATCATGTTATGTTTATGTTTATCTATTAAAATTGCATTAAATATGTATTTGTTTTCTAAAGCAACTTATCCAACTACCAAACCTAATTGAGTTATATTAAACTTCTTCATAATACACCAAATTGAGGGTTTTTTTTTTTTTTTTTTTTTTTTTTTTTTTCTTCTATGGAGTTAAAACCTAATTTTATAGAATAATGCAAGTATATAATCTTTGTTATTAATACTTGTGCTCTGATATTCAATCTACCCTAGTTGAGATATCATTTGTTATGGGTTTAAATTGAAATTCAAGTTTAAAGTAGGGATGACAATGAGACACGTTTGAAACAGGTGTATAAGTATCAAACTTATACGCTCGTCTCACACTTCAAATACATAATCATTGCACAAATGAGAAAACTTTAGATAAAACATATTTATCACGTCATGTGTATGTTATACAATAAAAATTGTATTAAACATTTATTTGTTTTGAAAGCAACCCATTATTATGATAATCAAGTGGATAGAAGAGAAAAAAAATATCTATACGCACGAGATTTAATTGGACAAACAATAAATGATTCTAGATGTTTGTTATCTTAAATTTCTCCCATGTTTGATACCTAAACCAATTTAGATGATTACAAATTTCTTCAGGGAATCTTCCCCACCAATTTAGATATCCTCTGAACCTGAGATCCCTGAAATTTTTTATTTTTTAGCTACTTTTAAGTTGAATATTCAGATTCTGAATCACGCTTTCACAATATTTAAAATCTTACTTTGTGTACACTGATTTTATACAAAGTTTAATTCATGCATTAAAAAAATGTGTAAAATATTTGTTTGAATCTCTGGCAGATTGGGTCTTTTGGGCTTCCATCATGGACATAAAGGTCTTGAGTAATGTTATTTAAGCCCATTTTTCATTGGACTAGGGTTGAAAAAGAGGGTTCTAAATTTCCCCACCCATTTGGAAAATAGACCTCAACCCTTAATTTAATTGAAGATTAAGCTATGACATTTTAAAATAAGTAGAAGATTCAAATTAATTTTTAATACAAGCAAACACTTCCTTTATCAATAAAGATAGATAGACAAACGAATCTCATAAATCCAACGTGGTAGTTGATAATTGGTTTCTGATGAATTTATCAAGTGAAAAAATTTATCAAAAACCAATTATCAGCTACCATGTTGGGTTTGTGAAAAAAAAATTATGATATTCGTTTGTCAGTCTAATATTATCCTTAATTTATTTCTCAAAAGTTGTGACTTAAAATCTAAGGCTCCGTTTGTTACACTCTTGGGAATACTATTATTAGTATTCCCAATAAAGTTAAATAGTAAAATTGACTTATTCTCAAAATATTATTTTATATTATTCAATTTCTTTTAAACCCCCTAATTTTGTTAATTTAACTAAACACTCCTAAATATTGTTTTTAGAAATTGTAAAAATACCCTAGCAACCCTCCGGCGGTGGTGGCCAGCTGTCCGTATTTAATGGGTGAGTTAAGGGTGTTTTTGTTAACTTTTAATATTTTATTATAGGGGTGTTTAGTAAATAAACAAACATAGGGGGTATTTTTGTTGATTTTTAAATCATACATCGTAATAGCCGCCCAATTTAACTTTTTTCAAAATATTATTCTAAAAAGTATCAGAATAATGAACCAAACGGACCATAACTTCTTATAATTTATTTTAATTAGATTGAGGTGATTAACATGCAACTATCTAGTTACTAAATTTTATATTCTTATTTTACTATAAATAAAAAGAGTAAGACTAATGCTACAGTTACCAAAGGATGCGTACTGAATTCGTGCATCGAATGAAGTAAAACAATCCTGACTGTTGATTCATTATTAGTTAAAATTAATCAACGGTCAGGATTTTGTCACGTCATTCGGTATATAATTTTCGGTAACTCTATCATTTTCCAAAGAGTAAATGCTATATAGTTCTCACATTTGTAGGTACCTTATATTTATGAGTTAAAACATGGACTCTTTTCGAGGTTTGATTAATGAAAAATGTTTGAAATTTATGAAATAATAAAAATTTCTCGTCTGTAGCAAAATGTTAGTTAACCGTAAGAAATTATACTATTATGAGTAATGAATATTTTGAAATTGCTCTCCTATCATTTTTTTTTTAATAATACTTTGCGTACTAACAGATTTAACTAACCAGTGTACTAACCTTTGTAAAATCACACATAGTACCTATACTATGCGTATGGTACCCGTATTATGCTTTAAGTTAGTACGCTGATTGTAAAATCCGTTAGTACCCATAGCATTACCCTTTTTAACTTCTAAAATTTAACTATAAGGAGATGTTTGCTATTCCAGAAAACTCGTGAGAATTTATCTAATTTTATCATACCTCGGGTCACGTTTATATCTAAATAATAATAGTCTAGGTATGTTATTATCAGGGGCAAAAGTGGTATTTCATTTTAACAATATTATTAAAGTTTATATGATAACACAAATCTCATTATCTTTGATGAATCGTTAAAATTTATTCTATCATAAATTAATAAAAATAATTTTAATATCCTTCAATTAACTATTTAATATCTAAAATTTAACCAATCATTAACAGTACAGTTGATTTTTGTTATTTTTAAAATTTTAGGAATTTTTATTTTTTGTTTAATAAAACTTGTTTATAAATATTATTAACCTAATTACCCTTTTTCCATTTATTTTTTTAACGGCGTAAATTTTATGAGTTCAGTAATAGTACTACTATAGTAGTAATGTTTTTGTTATTTCATAAACCTCAATGGGGATTACAGTAGTTTAATAAAACCTGAGGGAAATTGTTGTAATTAACTCATAATAACATCCCAAATCTCACCGGATTGCGAACTGAACTCAGTTCAGTCCGTCCCAACACGATGAGACGAAGACGTGTTAACACAAATCCTCTTAACACTTCTGATGAAGAAGCCAAACCCGAATATTCAAGCTTTGTTTTATTCGCTTCCGAAAACAGAGTCTTTGCGGTTTGTTTAGCTGTAAGAATTGTGAATGCTCTATTGATTCAAACTTATTTCAACCCAGATGAGCACTGGCAAGCCCTTGAAGTTGCCCACCGTATGGCTTTTGGGTAAATCTTTACTTACCGCTTTTATTTTTTGCTGTTATGTTTAGAGGGTTTTTAGTTTTATGTTTTTGGAAGCAGGGGAGATGCTTTCAGAATGAATATAAGTAAGAAAGTTGCAAATGGGCCTGTGTTATATTTCTGTTTAGAAGAGTATTTTTTTTTTTAAAGGGTATGTGTTAATTTCGTTTCATCGTGTTTAGCATTTTATGAGGCAAAATTGTTGCAGCTTTTGATTTTGAAAGTAGCGGAAATGCTTTCAAAATGGTTATAAATAGGAAACTTGCAAATTAGTCTGTGTTATATTTCTGTTTAGGTGAGGTTAGGTAGAGGGTATTTGTTATGTAGGGTTTAGGGTTAAGGTCAGATTATGAGGCTAAAATTGCGGCAGGTTTCGATTTTGATAGCCATGGAAGTGTTTTCAAAGTGCCTTGGAAAAGTTTGTTAGTAAGAACCTGCAAGAGGGTCTGTATTAAATTTCTGATTAGAAAATGCAAGTTTCTGTTAAGTTGTTGTAACTGCAAATGGAATTGTGTTAAAGTTCTGTTTAAAAAAAATAATTTTTGCAGTTTTTTATTTTGAAAGCAGTGGAAGTGCTTTCAAAGTGCTTTTAAGATGGTTTTTTAAATGGAAATTGCAAATGGGACTGTGCTAAATTTCTGTTTAGAAGAATTTAAATAATGGGTTTATGTTATTGCTGTTTCTTATTGTTTATCTTTGGTTAGACAAAAAAGATGTGGCTGATTTTGTTTTGAAGTGGAAGAAGTGTTTTTAATGTGATAAAAACTATGTTTTTAGTACAATGGTGGTAAATGTTGTGTGTTTGGACTGATCAAAATGACAGGTATGGTCATTTGACATGGGAATGGAAGAAGGGGATTCGAAGTTATTTGCATCCAATGCTGTTTGCTCTCCTTTACAAAATTCTTGCTCTTTTGCATCTTGATACTCCATTGGTCATGGTAAATAAAGTAATATCTATTTGTTTCTATATAGCATTGGTTATTGTAACAGAGTGCACAGAAATTCTACCATACCATGATTTATTGGTATGATGCTGAATAACTTTTCGGTGAGATTAATGGTCTTTGGGCGAAGATGAGGTAGTCATCATTCACTGGCTCCTAGTAGACCGGTATAACTACATCCAAGTATTTGTAGAATGACCCTGGAGAAGGTGAAATGACATGATTTATGTTAGACCATAAAAAGATTTTGGTATAGCAATGTTGAGAGAGTTTCATGGCTATTTCTTTGATTAATAGGTATTTTCATATGTTTGTGGGCATAGCCAACAGTTGCTCATGTTATTGACAACTTGATTCTTTTAGGACATGAGTGGACATGGCTGTCTTTGATTAATAGGTATTTTCATATGTTTGTGGGCATAGCCAACTGTTGCTCATGTTATTGACAACTTGATTCTTTTAGGACATGAGTGGAACTCATCGTAGTATCTTGTAGTATTATTCGTGCTTGTGGAATTTTCTTGGTTCACTCTAAATCTTGGAATTATGGTGGAGTTGAATTCTACAATTATAGTTGGTTTTCAATTATAAGATTATGGGTTTCAATTTTCTGCTGGCCTTGGTATTATGATTTTTTTTTGAGAAATTAGAATTTAGAAAATCATCAAAAACAAATGCTTTTATATGCGGTTGTCTATTTTCCTTTGGCATGTACTGCTACCTTCATTTTGGTTATTTTGCATCCACTTATGAGGTCAAATTATGGGTGGATGAAGATAGTGCTTGTGTTTTTTGGTTAATCAAAGACACGCTTATATCCTTTCTTCCATGCTTTGTAGATAAAGGCTCCACGGCTGTTGCAGTCCGTATTTTCTGCAGTTGGTGATTTATACTTGTATAAACTCTCTCATGTCCTCTTTGATGGTCATGTTGCAAAGTGGGCAGTATCCTTCATTTATGTGTTCTTAGTGGAACAAACTGTGGTTATTTTAATTTAATGTTATTCTTCCACTTCCTATTTGAACTTTACATGTTTGTTAAAACAAAAGGCATTGCAATGTCCATCATGCCGCTGGTTATAGTTGATGTCCTTAACTCTTCTGCAGTTGTTTTGTCAATGGACAAATTGGTTCATGTTTTACTGTTTCAACCGCACATTATCAAATAGTTTGGAGACTGTTCTTACCCTTGTAGGGCTGTACTATTGGCCCTGTATGAGAGTTTCTTCTGGCAACGTTCACTCTGTTTCAAGGAAGAGGGGATTGGTAGTGGCAGCATTAGCTTGTGCCATTCGACCAACAAGTGCTATTACATGGTTGTACGTTGGCCTTCTTGAGCTGCTTGTTACACGTGATAGACTCAGATTTATTTTTTTGGAGGTGCTCCCAATTGGGTAGGTATTAATATACTACTCCCTAACATAATTGTTTTCAATTTTCTGTTTCTCTTATCCATACCAAATGTTCCTGAGCTTGATTCTCATATCTGTACTTCTGTACGTCATATTCCTCAGTTTGTATAGATTATAAATATATTTCATTTCTCTCTGTTTTCAATTTTTTGATTCTCTTATCCATCACAATTGCTCCTAGTAGTTGATTAATTAAAAAAATTAATATAAACAAACAATTGTAACCGCAATGCATAACTTTACAAAATTTAATTAATCATTTTGTTCTTTTATTTTTTTGTTCTGAAAGGTATGGTTATGGTGACTCTATGTAGAATATATTTCCTGTATCTGTGACAAATCTTGACAAGTAACTCAAGATTCTGAATATGTTCTGTATAAATCATCATTTACAGGAAAATTTGGATGATGGAATAGTGTCAATTTGGGTGTTTACTTAATTATAAGAAGTCCTTGAAGTCTCATGATAAAGTTCTTGCTGCTGTTTGCAGTGGTCTCTCATTATAACTATTGCTGATTGCTATTATGTTCTTCAATCAAATTGCTATACAAAATTTCAAATCATCGTACTTGACAAATGCACTTTAACGTTGATGTGCCAAAAGATGACTCAACTATGATAAGTGAAGACAACCATGTCATGATTTCTGTCGTGGCATCTGTCTTCTGTGCTTCTATATTAATTGTAGAGTCCTTATAGCAGAGCTCATGCATGAGACACTCTACACAGTGCTGATGGTTATTTCATCTTGATTCCTTTTACTTATGTTATCAGGGTCCTGATGCTTGGATTTACATGCTTACTGGATCGCTGGATGTACGATTCATGGATTTTAGTGCCTCTTAATTTTCTAAAGTTCAATTTTCTTTCTTCTGGTGGAGACTATTATGGAACTCACAAGTGGCACTGGTACTTCACCAGTGGATTTCCAGTCATGCTCTTCACTTGGATACAATTTTCATTTGTTGGCATCATGAAGTATAAACACTGGAAACTTTCTGGCCTTATAGTATGGGTTCTTGCACTTTACAGTGTACTAGGTCATAAGGAATTCAGGTAAGAATACGGCATCAAAATATTTTAGTTTGTGAGGCTTCTTGGCTTTACTTCATAAATGACATCCTTTGGTTATGCTATAATACAGGTTTGTCCTTCCTGTGCTTCCAGTAGCTTTGATTTTCTCTGGATATAATCTGGCTGATACGGAAAGAGCTGATAGGAAAAGGAAAAGTGCTTTAAATGTTCATTCCAAGTGGCCTTCAAAAACGCAATTTACAGTTTTCTTCTTGCTTGTTACCAATATACCAATGGCCTTGTACATGAGTTTGGTTCACCAGGTAACCTAACCGGAGATAAGTAACAAAACCAGAAAATGGAAATCTGAAGCAAAATTTGTTGTAATATATTACCCTTTTGGCTGATGCTTACCATAAAGCATGCTTGACAGAGAGGAGCAGAAGATGTGATGAACTATCTCTCTAAAGAAGCCCAGAATGAGAAAGTGAAAAGTATTCTTTTCCTAATGCCCTGTCATGCCACACCTTACTACTCCACTCTGCATTGCAACCTGCCCATGCGGTTTCTTGACTGTTCACCAAGGTCTGTATGCTGGTCCTGCTGGTTGGAATATATTTTTCATGCTGTCTTGATATCGATTGCCTTCTAATCATTGTTAGTTTGGTATTTGTTCAACAGAGAAGATAAGGAACTAGATGAGTCAGACCGTTTTTTGAGTGACCCTGTTGGTTTTACTTCAGAAATTGCAAAAAATGGGTCTTTACCAAGTCATGTTGTATTATTTAGTTCAGAGGAAATACTGTTGAGGGATTTACTTATATCATATTCTTACAAAGAGGTACATGCTTAAACTTTTATTTAAAGTATTATTTTATTATCTTTTATTTATTTTTTGGTTTCGCTCTCAACTTTTAATTTTTTCTTCATATCGAACTAGTAACATCCTAGATCATGTTATTATTATGCTAGGTACAACAATTTTTCCATGCTCACTTTAAGGTGGACCGAGATCTTCAAGCATCTGTCAGTGTATATGCTTTGACTGGCCAGTGACCGTCATTCCATTGCAATAGGTTTTCGTAACCTAATCTTTCCTTGAGACTTGCTGACCAACTTAACATTGTTATTTTCGAATTCTAAGATGATTGTGGAGTTGTATTTGTTACTCCAAATGCTAAAGTAAAGCTGTTTTTCTACTTCCATCTGGAATATTGTCACTTTATTTAGTTGAAAAGCTTATGCTCAATTTGCTGTTCTCATTTGAAGTCCATAAAAATTCTATGGTATAACATTTTTGAATTCCCTTTAATTTTGTTGTATAGCAGAAAATGACTGACAAAAAAAGCTTATTCCATGGCTATAATCTTATATAGATATATATAATTATCTCCTGTGTGGATGTCCTGATTTTTTTTTTTAAAAATTTGGACCTGAATGCCCAACTATTTTCTGATGAACTGCATATATATATATATATAGAATCAAGGGAATAATATTTATGCCCAACAATATTCTGATGAATTGCATAACCACACCTTTGTGTATCTATATGCTGCTCATGTTGGGAGCTGGTTATTTCTTGGTGTCATCTTCCTTCTCCAAGTAAACTTTTGTGCTGAGCTTTCTCTGTTTTGTGGCAGGTTCTTTATGATCTGTTATTATCAACTATAACTGGCCTTGATCCTACCTAAACCTGCTGATTGCAGACTAATGTGCTTGTGTAGTATTCAAACCTAAAATTTAGACAGAAGTGATGTTGTTGAGAATTATGTTATGTTACCAAGGAGGTAAGATCATCCCATCTGGACCATTGAATCATGGTTTAGTAGTCAACCCTTGGACCATAATCCTAAGAGTCCATGTGAGATGGGATGGGCGAGAGTAATATTAGCTCGATACTGTAGGTGAACTGCGACTTAGAAAATTGTTTCAGATTGGTCAATGAAGCAGCTCTGATTCCTCTCTTCCATCAAACAATTAGATATCCCTAGATGATGATGGCAAGATTTTTTAGTTTCATGGGCACAACTGAAACACTTATATTATGTCCAGATAATCAACTGTGTAAATAATAACATAGCAAACTTAAAAGAATTAGAAACTAGAGGTGTATTGTTTTAGTGAAGCTCAAATGAATTAGTCGGATTCGGATAACATCAAGATTTTATCTAAAATCTGAAGTATTTATTGAAGTCAGAATCATAATATTAGGTGTAGAAAAAGCTGCAAATGTTGTTATTCAATAGCCTAGTAACATACAATGGACCTTCCCGGTTGATTCTCCATAGTTAAGGGAGCATCTTGTGAAATTCATTGGCTCAAAAATCTACTGGCATTGCAGCAGTGTATGAATACCAGTATTTCAACTTTCTATCATCAGTACAGTAAACTCAAGTATGAAATGCTAGCAGGTGGTGTTGCAAGTTGGCCTACTTGGCTCATTAGCCCACACGCTTTGAACTCTTAACCATATTGAGGTCCTCTTCAGTTTCACACTGCCCATAATGAAAAGACTCATGGCTTATCCATTCATCTGATTTGCAAGGTCCTGGAAAACTATGGAAAGATGACATAAAAACCTGGAGGTTAATGTCAAGGTCTTCTTGTTATCTAGGTAAAACATGATCCACTTGCAGCCAAATTAGGTACCAGAAGGAAAAGATGTTTTAAGGACCACTCCCATGTACTAAAAAGAATCCTTTTTTTCAGTAAGACACATAGGCTCCATATTTGGTTATGGATTGGGGGTACTGTACTGATGATAGCTTGGGAGAGAGCAGCCAAGTTGATGGGTTGATAGTTAGGGTGCTTACCCAGCTGCTAGAGTGATTGGTGTTACGCCAAGTATCGAATAAACATTGGTTAGGTCTTGGGTTTAAAAAGATGGTTAGATAACCAATAAGCTAGTCTTTTGGGTAAATGGTAAGTTTGTTGTATCATATTAGAGTAAACCCAATTGGCTGGGGAAGAATGTTACGTCCCACATGGAATAGACATGAAAAGTGCTTGCTGACATCGGGAACTGTTGGATAGTAATGGCTAACCAAAAGTTTTAGCAGTTACTCTTTAAGTTGTCACACTAGAAAGAGACCTGCAATAATGTCAAGATTCAGCCTCCTTGAGAACAAAACTTTGATTAGTTGGTTTGATAAATATCAGAAATGGACTAAACAAGTCTCTTTCTGAGAACAGGAAAAGTATATGAACATTTTAGGATGAGAAATGAGATTAGGAGACAAAAATTACTTAAAATATCCCCACTAAACAAACAATGTCATTCATGGCCCTCTCCATGGCATTCAACGGTCTTGATCCTGAAAAATCTGGCATCATGAAATAGGATCATACTGCAAGCGAATTCGGAGATTATCAGTAGCCATCATATTAACCGCGAAAATTCGGCTCCAGTTAGTAATAGCGTTATGTCATATTTTCAAGAGAACAGAGTTTAGAGCTTATTCTCAGACAAATGTTACATGCCAACAATCACAAAATGACAATTGAAAAAGACCTCCACAACCATTGCTCCATATCTCCCCCATGATGAGCTTTAAAGTGAAACAGTTTATAAATAGGTCTAAATTAATAGTAAGTCATCTGCATAAACTCCTTGTTTTCTCTTAATCTTAAAGCCTGAGAATTTGCATCGTAATTTTCGCTTTGGTTACCATGAGAAGAGCTAGCTTCTTGTCGAGGAATAAACGAAACCAAAAGATGAAGATGGGGTGCTTGAGAATGAGGAAGAAGGTAAAATTTGCTAACTTTTCCGTACAAAGAAATCTTTCTACTCTGAGAAGGATCATTCCAGGGTGTGAAAAGGCTGATATAGCAACGTTGTTTCAGAAGTCCATAAAGCAAATTGTAAAACTAAAATTTCAAGTTTGTGTTCTCAGAAGCCTGACAAACTACTATGGGATATAATGGAAATGTTCATCATCAACTCAAGCACAATTGCATCAAAATGTAAGTTTCACCCATCTTGTAACATGCATCTACAGTGCGGCGACAAAATAATAATACAATTGACAATGGTTCATTATTTTGGTTTGACTCCAGTATATTATCACATCCTTTCAATAATTTCATGCTGCTGTTGCTTTCATTACACATCAATACTGTACTTGATTTTTATTTTTTTGGAGTATGCAGACTTCTTGCTGCATATTCACAGGATGTAACATGAAATAGAGGGAAGAAAATCCATACCAGTTACAGTTCATAGACCTATTTGATTGTACTTTGTAAACAATGCTTCAGGGGCGACATATTCGCGTGTTAAAGGCGATAAGAAAGAACAATATATTCATGTATTAAGCAACAACTGCAATATAGTTGATGTTAATTACACAGTCTACGAAATATAAATTATGCAAACTGATTTAGGTCTCATCAAAGTACAGTAACTTCAGTTTTTGTAGAATTGAAGTTGGTATTTTGTCAAATTAGTAGAAAGCATAAGCATATGATTAATCACTGTCGCCCATGTCTTGTAACGCTGATAATCGTCTGCCATGTCTAGCTTAATTGTACCCAGATTAGTGGTCAATACAATAAGATAACATGTATCAGTCTCTTGTTCTGCTTCTGCATCTTTATACAGCTCCGCGTGCAGGTCGAGAATGATACCTAAAACCAAATCAAGATTGATCAGTACACTTAATCATCTCTTCTCATGAATAAACTTTAATCTTTTCAAACAAAAGGGCAAAAAAAGGGAGAAAAGTGAAAGTGAAACATACTTTCCTTCTTGCTTTTCAACAGATTAAGCTTCCTCAGTTTAAGAATGACCTGTAAAGTTGGAATAAGTATAAAAATTTAGAGTCTTCAAGATTTGGTTATATGAATTTGTAAACCAGATTGGAATGAAGTTCTAACCTTAGCCTGGCTATCTAGAATGATGGAAACTGATCTCAACATGTATTTTCCTGGTTACCAAACAGAATAAATAAGTACTCACTTATTAAGAATCCGAAAACTTCCTGAAGTCTAAATAATCTTGTCAAAATCTAAGTACCATGAGGTGATTCAATGCCAAGTTCAGTGCCTTTGGCTAGTATTGATCGACACTTCTCGAAGTTGAAGTCGAGATCATTGTTGTCTTCGATAGGCAGGATAGGCGCGCCACCGTTTAATCTGTTCTTGCATCCTGATCTTGCCTTGAGAGTTGCGGCTCCTCTTAATGCTGAAACAAAATGAAAAATTAGCGGAGTGAAATTTTTTTTATCAACTAATTACAAGTACAGAATGATAATTTTTACATGTTGTAGCTGCAGCAGTGAGTGTTAAGATGTCACTTGCACTTGTACCACTCATGGCTGAGCCTAGTACACTGCTAAGTTGCTCCCTTTTCGCCCCCATCGCTTCTGCAACCTGCGCGCATTGTGCCGCGACCAAAGCAGCTGCAGAGGCGACTGCAGCCTCCTTTGATGTGCCAGAGTCATCCTTCTTTGAATTTTCAGCTGCAATTGCAGCCAGTGCCGCAGCAATTCCAGCCACTGATATTGCTGCATGCACTTCAGCCTTCTGTAACCGGTCTTCTTCCTTTCGCTTTTGCTTGAACTCTCTGAACCATTTCTTGATCGAAACAGTCTTAATCGGCACTATCTTCCACGGCAGCTGCACGAAGAATTGTGATTAATTATTTCTCTCATAACTTTCTGCCATGGTTAAAAAAAAAAAATGAAGTTTATTTGTATGACATACCCATTTTTTCCGGAAGCAGCTGCTGTAGTTCAGTTCGGGATGCATTGCTTGTTGCATCCAAATCCAGGACTGAAAATCAATATGAATGAAATGAAATCAACCGAAGCGAAAGCATTTTTCCGATTAAATGGTACTAATAGCAATAGATCATTATTAATTACCTTCACATCATTGGATTTCCAGGGAGGAAGAGACTTAAAATCTGCACCATCCATCTTAATGCTCTTGTCCATTTTCTGCAAGAACAACACAGAAAAGAAATCTAAATTCATTGCTCTTACAAGTAACACAAAATCCCAACACAAAGAAACCATTCTGAGACTGCAATTCAATTCAACTCACTGTAAATGGAACTTTGATGTCACTCTCAAACTTCTTCATTGAGCTATCCAACAGAACAATGGATTTGTCTTGTAATTCTGCAGGTTGGAGAGCTTGAACTGCAAAATTGCACCAAGCACTAGAGAGAAAATCCATTGTTTCAGGATGTGCTTCAGAAGGGCTTGGCTTGAAATTGGAATCCATTGTTTTGAACTTAGAGATGATAAATGATTATTAATCAACTAAATCAGAATGAGAAAATGATACTTAGTTTGAGATATAAATAACTCTAAATATGCATGTACATTTAAATAAACATTGCTGAATCATCACCATCATATCAATGTTATAATGTAATGTGCATATGCTTTTAAGCATGGTCCATGCCTAGCTAGAAAATTATTTGCCTAGAGCTAACTGCACTGCAAGATTATGTAACGTTACTGTTGCTGGGATTAATCAAGTTAAAAAGAGATTATATCTGAGTCTGCAACAAAGCTGCGTAGTGACTAAAAGTTGCTGCTGGTGCATAAAGAAAATGGACAGATGGGATGTTACAGTTGGAAAGAGTAAGTGGATTAATATGATTTGTTTATGAATACACGAACATGGATGATGGAAACATTAAGGTCCTACTTGGTAACACAAGAGTTCATAGATAGGAAGATTTTGATTAGGGTGAGTCCCCAAGATTTCATTGAGAGATAACACATGCTAACCATTATAGAAGCATGAATATTTGTATCAAATAATATTCATAAAGAGACTCATGAAGGGTTAGCCGAATGGTCAAGTCTATGATTTATTCTAATTCTAAACTCAAACTTTGGTTTAACAAAGCAAGTTTGGAGGATTTTTGGATTATCTTCGATCATTGTTTCCCAAAGACAAGGGTTCTAGTTCTGAAGTTGAACTTGGGTTCTCTAAAAATTATAGAATTCGATAGAGACTCTAGTTTTGAATTCGGATTTGTAAAGCAAATGTGGAGGATTTTTGGATTATAAAAGATAAAAATAATAACAATAATCATAAAGGGATTTGAGGAGGCCCCTTCTCTTTAGTATCTTTAAATGAAAACCATAAATTGAAGCTAAGTATGAAGGGATAACAATAAGTGAACAAGTGATAAAATTACAAGCTGGAGCTGTCCAGGGCCACCACAATAGCCCCTCAAGCTAACGTGAATTGAAGTCCATAAAGCAAATTGTAAAACTAAAATTTCAAGTTTGTGTTCTCAGAAGCCTGACAAACTACTATGGGATATAATGGAAATGTTCATCATCAACACAAGCACAATTGCATCAAAATGTAAGTTTCACCCATCTTGTAACATGCATCTACAGTGCGGTTTCGACAAAATAATAATACAATTGACAATGGTTCATTATTTTGGTTTGACTCCAGTATATTATCACATCCTTTCAATAATTTCATGCTGCTGTTGCTTTCATTACACATCAATACTGTACTTGATTTTTATTTTTTTGGAGTATGCAGACTTCTTGCTGCATATTCACAGGATGTAACATGAAATAGAGGGAAGAAAATCCATACCAGTTACAGTTCATAGACCTATTTGATTGTACTTTGTAAACAATGCTTCAGGGGCGACATATTCGCGTGTTAAAGACGATAAGAAAGAACAATATATTCATGTATTAAGCAACAACTGCAATATAGTTGATGTTAATTACACAGTCTACGAAATATAAATTATGCAAACTGATTTAGGTCTCATCAAAGTACAGTAACTTCAGTTTTTGTAGAATTGAAGTTGGTATTTTGTCAAATTAGTAGAAAGCATAAGCATATGATTAATCACTGTCGCCCATGTCTTGTAACGCTGATAATCGTCTGCCATGTCTAGCTTAATTGTACCCAGATTAGTGGTCAATACAATAAGATAACATGTATCAGTCTCTTGTTCTGCTTCTGCATCTTTATACAGCTCCGCGTGCAGGTCGAGAATGATACCTAAAACCAAATCAAGATTGATCAGTACACTTAATCATCTCTTCTCATGAATAAACTTTAATCTTTTCAAACAAAAGGGCAAAAAAAGGGAGAAAAGTGAAAGTGAAACATACTTTCCTTCTTGCTTTTCAACAGATTAAGCTTCCTCAGTTTAAGAATGACCTGTAAAGTTGGAATAAGTATAAAAATTTAGAGTCTTCAAGATTTGGTTATATGAATTTGTAAACCAGATTGGAATGAAGTTCTAACCTTAGCCTGGCTATCTAGAATGATGGAAACTGATCTCAACATGTATTTTCCTGGTTACCAAACAGAATAAATAAGTACTCACTTATTAAGAATCCGAAAACTTCCTGAAGTCTAAATAATCTTGTCAAAATCTAAGTACCATGAGGTGATTCAATGCCAAGTTCAGTGCCTTTGGCTAGTATTGATCGACACTTCTCGAAGTTGAAGTCGAGATCATTGTTGTCTTCGATAGGCAGGATAGGCGCGCCACCGTTTAATCTGTTCTTGCATCCTGATCTTGCCTTGAGAGTTGCGGCTCCTCTTAATGCTGAAACAAAATGAAAAATTAGCGGAGTGAAATTTTTTTTATCAACTAATTACAAGTACAGAATGATAATTTTTACATGTTGTAGCTGCAGCAGTGAGTGTTAAGATGTCACTTGCACTTGTACCACTCATGGCTGAGCCTAGTACACTGCTAAGTTGCTCCCTTTTCGCCCCCATCGCTTCTGCAACCTGCGCGCATTGTGCCGCGACCAAAGCAGCTGCAGAGGCGACTGCAGCCTCCTTTGATGTGCCAGAGTCATCCTTCTTTGAATTTTCAGCTGCAATTGCAGCCAGTGCCGCAGCAATTCCAGCCACTGATATTGCTGCATGCACTTCAGCCTTCTGTAACCGGTCTTCTTCCTTTCGCTTTTGCTTGAACTCTCTGAACCATTTCTTGATCGAAACAGTCTTAATCGGCACTATCTTCCACGGCAGCTGCACGAAGAATTGTGATTAATTATTTCTCTCATAACTTTCTGCCATGGTTAAAAAAAAAAAATGAAGTTTATTTGTATGACATACCCATTTTTTCCGGAAGCAGCTGCTGTAGTTCAGTTCGGGATGCATTGCTTGTTGCATCCAAATCCAGGACTGAAAATCAATATGAATGAAATGAAATCAACCGAAGCGAAAGCATTTTTCCGATTAAATGGTACTAATAGCAATAGATCATTATTAATTACCTTCACATCATTGGATTTCCAGGGAGGAAGAGACTTAAAATCTGCACCATCCATCTTAATGCTCTTGTCCATTTTCTGCAAGAACAACACAGAAAAGAAATCTAAATTCATTGCTCTTACAAGTAACACAAAATCCCAACACAAAGAAACCATTCTGAGACTGCAATTCAATTCAACTCACTGTAAATGGAACTTTGATGTCACTCTCAAACTTCTTCATTGAGCTATCCAACAGAACAATGGATTTGTCTTGTAATTCTGCAGGTTGGAGAGCTTGAACTGCAAAATTGCACCAAGCACTAGAGAGAAAATCCATTGTTTCAGGATGTGCTTCAGAAGGGCTTGGCTTGAAATTGGAATCCATTGTTTTGAACTTAGAGATGATAAATGATTATTAATCAACTAAATCAGAATGAGAAAATGATACTTAGTTTGAGATATAAATAACTCTAAATATGCATGTACATTTAAATAAACATTGCTGAATCATCACCATCATATCAATGTTATAATGTAATGTGCATATGCTTTTAAGCATGGTCCATGCCTAGCTAGAAAATTATTTGCCTAGAGCTAACTGCACTGCAAGATTATGTAACGTTACTGTTGCTGGGATTAATCAAGTTAAAAAGAGATTATATCTGAGTCTGCAACAAAGCTGCGTAGTGACTAAAAGTTGCTGCTGGTGCATAAAGAAAATGGACAGATGGGATGTTACAGTTGGAAAGAGTAAGTGGATTAATATGATTTGTTTATGAATACACGAACATGGATGATGGAAACATTAAGGTCCTACTTGGTAACACAAGAGTTCATAGATAGGAAGATTTTGATTAGGGTGAGTCCCCAAGATTTCATTGAGAGATAACACATGCTAACCATTATAGAAGCATGAATATTTGTATCAAATAATATTCATAAAGAGACCCACGAAGGGTTAGCCGAATGGTCAAGTCTATGATTTATTCTAATTCCAAACTCGAACTTTGGTTTAAGAAAGCAAGTTTGGAGGATTTCTAGATTATCTTCGATTACTGTTTCCCAAAGACAAGGGTTCTAGTTCTGAGGTTGAACTTGGGTTCTCTAAAAATTATAGAATTCGATAGAGACTCTAGTTTTGAATTCGGATTTGTAAAGCAAATGTGGAGGATTTTCGGATTATAAAAGATAAAAATAATAACAATAATCATAAAGGGATTTGAGGAGGACCCTTCTCTTTAGTATCTTTAAATGAAAACCATAAATTGAAGCTAAGTATGAAGGGATAACAATAAGTGAACAAGTGATAAAATTACAAGCTGGAGCTGTCCAGGGCCACCACAATAGCCCCTCAAGCTAACCAAAACAGGCTAGAAAAAGAAAAGCAAAGAGAATAGTGATGAAACATTATAATTAAGCATGCACTTGGGGCCAAGATATGTATCATTGAAGCCAAACATTCTTTGATTAGAATAAATCTTTGGGTTAATTCACAACCCTCTAAAATGATCTTTCTTAAAGCTAAACTTTTTGTATTAAATTTGTACAAAATGTGTAAGTTAGTTGAGAAGCAGCTTTTTGTACAAGTTGAATAATTAATTGAAAGTGTGATGATTTGAGTCATGTGAGAAGCTCATATTTTATAATTTGAGATGCTTCTTCTTTGCTTCTTAAGGGTGGCTATGATCAAGAGAGCCACCAAATTTGATTCTCAATAGAAATCAATTCAATTGCCCCTAGTAATTATATCATCACTATTAAATTATGCTAATTTTCTTCTTCTTTTTTTTTTTTTTATTTTAAGCTCAATGTAATGGTTAAATACCACTGTTTCTTGTTTTCGAAGACTAGAGAGTTTGACAGAAACTTCAGTTTTGAATTTGGGTTCACAGAAGATTTTGGGATTATAAAAAATTAAAAATAAAAAAACAGAAAAAGAAAAATTGGGTTACCTTGAATTTGAAATTTTCTGCTCATGATAGGAAATTTGATGTGTACCCATTGTTTGAAATTATGATAAAGCGTAAACATCTTTTCCCACCCAAATAATGGTTTAATGGCAATTTTCCATCGACAGACTTTTAAAATACCATTTAATTATCTAAATTTACACTTCGTTTTCAATCCTAATATTGTTATGACCTCAAACCACTGTTATTTTCTTCTCTGATTCCAATTGTTGGCAATCGAGCAATTAAGGTTTGCACATATGCTCCTCCTAAGTCAAATTCTAATCAATTCTAACCATCAAAATCCAACATTTCACCATAAAAAACTCATCAGCCTCTCTTTTTTAAAAGCCCTAACAGTTTAGACCGAGTTTGTTCTTTGTTCACTGTCGGAATATAAATTTAGGTAGTAAAGTGTTATTTTAAAAGTCAATGGGTAGAAAAACGTCATTAAACCATTATTTGGGTAGGAAAAAATCATTAACTTGACGATAAACATATATAATTGGGATTTTTCGAATTTTGATTTGAGTGAAATTTTCAAAATGACTTCAATCATGAGAATTTAATATGATGGAAATATAACTGTGGAATAAGATTTGGGGGAGTATAGTATATAAATATAACTGGTATATATTCTATGTTATTATTTGATGATATTCAAAGTTTATGATATTTAAAATTTAATTTAATTGCTTAAAAATTTATCTGGATTTGATCCATAGGGCCTCTTTGGGCTGGAAGAAACTTAATTCGAATTCTGAGCTTAACAGATAAGGCCAGGTCCAAGCCTCCCTATAAATTAGGCCTTGATGCGCTATTGTGTGTTCTCTAGCCCAATACAACAAAACTCATCTTATTTATTATTCTCTTTCTGAAAAATAAAAAACAATATGTTGTGTAAAAATATTCCTAAAGGGACTTGGAAATAGACCTTTATGAACCCTAATGGAAGTGACAAAAATTACCCAATTGAGACAGCTTTGTCTTTGCCTTGTTAACCTTATTCATTTTCATCAAACATTCCTTTGACCAAATATTGTAGAAGAGAGATAAGTCGTTGTTCAAACTTGCAAAGAATATATCACGGCATTGAAGAAAAACCCGAAAGGTAATACTTCCAAGCTTAGTTTGTCTCTAAAAGACAGGTACATATTTTGGGTATATAGAAGAAAAAAAATAAAAAAGAAAAAGAATTTGTAGTACAAATTGTGGCTTGGGTCCATGAACACATCCTAGAAAATTAGAATTTTACCATTGACAATGATATGCCAATGCCTCTAGCCATCCCTTTTAATTATTACGTTGAACGCGAAGGTCAATAATATAGGACCAAAATCCTATGGTTCCCATGTTCTAGAGTGTAGGTTTCTTTTGAACAATCTAATTTCTTCAAAGAAATGTCAAAGGTATACCCTGAATGTTTAAGGCTAGAAGCGTATTGTTGACAGAAGAGACGAGTTGACTGATGTACATCATGTCTCCAAACAACAACAACAACAATTAAAAAAGAAAAAAATCAATTGAGTAATGTCATTCCAAGGAGTATAATAAAATAGTAAATTTTTTTGTTTGTTTTAGGTTTCACGCTTATCTTTTCTGTCTTTTGGATTTGCCTTTAGGTTTTATACAATGCAAGCTAGGTGAGCATGGGTAAAGCATAGACCTGGAACCAGCAGATACCTAATGCTGGTTGCGTAGGAATCGAAACCGCCCCTCATAGGGTAGTGTTCGGTTTGGAAAATTGGAATGGAATCCCAGTTCAGTTCCAGTTCCAGTCTTAGTGCTAGAATCAGGACTGGAACCTACTTGTTGGGAACCGTTTAGGAACGGGGTGTATGTGTGAATTTTGTGAACTTCTAAGGGTGTATTTTTTTTTTTAAATTATAGGGAGTAATAATTTTATAGGGTACTCGGGAAAGGAAGATTGTATTTAGGTTCTGGTTCCATGAACCAAAAGACCGAAACTGGTCGGGTTCTGGTTTCTGGTTCGTGGTTCGTTCTAGCAATTCCGATGTAACCTAGAACCACTCACCGCTAATACAAGCATCTTATCAACAAAATCTTGTATATAATTTTTGACAAGATCACTTAGAATTGTAAATTAAATCCAGCTTAATTCTCATTATTTTAATTTACAAACTTGTCCCATTTTTTTTTTTTTTTAAAATATTGATGGTACAAGTAAAATTTATGATAAAAAGAAAAAAGATGACCGCATTTAATCAGAACGGCATAATGAGTCATACCCATCATGATAAATTGACAAAATATTATAAAAGATCCATCGTGAAGAATGACAAATCATTTATTTAAAATCATTTCTCTATCGTTTTTTAAGATTTAGGTTAATAGAATACAAGGAAAACTTCATATGAATCAAAAATTTAAGGCAAATCACCCACTTATTTATGGGGCATGCAGCCAAAATCGGCACCATCACATGCATGCTCGAGTCATTTCCACTGTTTCTTGAAGGTGGAGAGTGGTTACGATAAGGTGAGTTTTGAAAGCTCAGTCAAAATACCATAGCTGGCTACCAATTTACAAGATCAATTGGATTAGATAGGAGACTTAGCAACCACAAAGAAGGAGAGCAATCAAATAATTGATATAAATATATGCTTAATTATTTGTTTATTATCAAGTACATTATTTTATTCAATATTGATACATGGACAAATTAACAACCTAATCTTAAAACAACTATTTCCTTGTAATTGAATGATGGAAATTATAGTTTGATTCAATCTATCTATCTATCAAATTATAGCTGCTTATATAGCTATCTAGCCCTTGAATCTTATCTCACACCATCCATTATTTAGGTGATAATTAATGATGTGACAATCAGGTGATGAATTAATAATCCCATTGACATAAATGGGATGCTTTCTTGTTATTTTTCGTTTACATTTAATTCTTGCACATGTGAGATCATTGAAATATATTGATTACCCTACTTTTGAATAGTTATAAGAAGATAAGGTTCACCATAGTTCATATATATTCACAAGTTAATTTACACAACTTTTTTCCAACAATTTCACTACACTTCAATAAGAATTTCAACAAATAAAAATAGAATTTTGTAAATAATTAACACACTTTCATGTATAATACGAAATTTGGAAGTTTGTCAATATCTCGATACCTATGTTTGGTATCTGAAATTCTCTTTGAATCTAACAATATTTCCGATAGTGTTTTAACCTGATAATATGGGATATTCGAATATCTTATCACCGAATATTGGATGTTACATCTTTGCCCATTATCAAATTGAGTCTTGAGTTATAACCCATATGATGTCAAAGGGAAAATAAGATCAATGATATTAACAAGGAACCTAAAATCCTGAAGGAAATTGATTTCCACATTTTACATGAGCCTAGCTCTTATTGTCGATGTGTAATTGTATTATAAAGAAAAGGGCAACTAATTATTGTTTGAAATCTTTATAAATATACATAAATAGATACTAATGCAGGGGGCCTCAATGGCTGCATTATCCATCATCAATCAATCAAAAACTCTTCAAGAAGACAAAGAGGAGCCATCTGAATATTATTCTTCTTCTTTGTTGATATACAATTGTTCATTGATTAATTCACTGCTGTCAATAACATTGCATAAGTCAAAAGAAGAGAGAAAGGACACTGTTTGCTTTTTCTCATGTCCAAGGTTTGAACATTCCCCTTTAAAATCATATAGTTGAAAGGTTGAATATATGCTGACCAGGTTTCACTCTTATTGATTAACTTTTAATTTTTGTTTACCCATAGTTATAATCTCTTGTGCAAACTCAAAATACATACCTTGAAAAAATATATGTACAAATCTTCGTACACATACCAAGATCGATGCTCAAATAATGCAGTTCGGATTTTTAGACTCACACCCGGAATTATATAATAATATATGACGATGGATGAGAGCATTACTATAATTAAATGTGGAGGAGAATCCCTGATTTTGGGCAACTTAAATCTTTGCTCTTGTCGTGGTCATCATATAATGCAACTCTCAGAGGAATTCGCCCGGGCGTGCAGTTTGTTTTGTTTAGCCTTTCACTATTATTTTATGTCACCACCAACTTCTCTTTTATTTGTTTGCCTTAACAATACGAAACCCATCTCAGTTTCTTAACTAAAATTAGTACACAAGAATAACTCAGATAGTTGTGTAAGTAATACTTCAAATGCCAAGAGACATTCAATAAAAATATTCAAAATTTCAATCACAAAACTTCCATAATTATTCTATACATTAATCAAACCAATTTGAAGTAATTTCTACATCAAAACATTTCTACTGAAATATATTGAACTCAGAAAAAAATTGTTATGAATAGAAAAATGAAAAGAAAATAATAGGAATGAATTGAAATGCATATATATATATATATTTATTTATATTATATAGATTGACTTACATATAAATTCATCTGTACATTCTTTAACTAGAGGCAGCTTCGATCGTTTCTCCTTCATGATCTATCTATTCATATTATTGCAAAAAGGAGATAAAATTAAGGAAAGCAAAAGGTAATTATAATAACATTTGTAAAATAGAGAGAATCTACTTCAGCTTCACCATTGCCGATCTTTTTTCCGATTTTCTATCTCAGTGGCGTTCGCAAAACTCTTCATTACATCTATTTGAGCTCGAAGAGATATTATATAATCTAGGGTTTCTTCGATCAACGATACTTCATCCATGAATTCTCCACCCGGCACCACACTTTTCAACAATTGTGTTCTCTTTTTAATCATCTTCTTCGCGACCGAAAAGGCGAAAACTTTCGGTCGAGAAGGTGTTGATCTTTTCATTGCTTTACGAATTGTAGTGCAGCTCCTCTTCAAGATCTTCCTGCATCTCGTCCTCCTGCTCATCGTTGAATTCTTATTTTGCCTCTCGTAATCAGAACCCAGAATTTTCCCTACAAATTCTTTGCCATTATCGTTTCTTGAAGCATTAGCAATGAGAGCACGGCTCCAACAAGTTTTAACGTTTCTGCTAGACGCCATGGCCACGTCCGCCGATAGCTTTATCGCCTTCTTCCTCTCGAATACGTTCATATTCTTCAAAGAATTACATACTTGGAGACCCAATATCCATTTCTTGAGAAATTCTTGCTTCAATGAGCTCGGCGAACGCATCCTGCAGAAAATAAAATAGGGTTTTTTCCTCTCGTTAAATTAAAACGTGGAAACGAAGTTGATGTGTAAAGTTTCTCCAAGTAAAGGAGATAATGTTCATGAAAGTAATAGTTTTGAGTTCAATGGAAGAAAAGAATTCATTGACTTGCGAGCAAGCTAGGGTTTGAAATTGAGCGAATGAATATGAGAGAACATTAATTAGTTAATCAACTTGAAAAATATGTATGCTAAACGTACGTACCTCGATGATTGCTATATATGTTGCGCTCTTGTTGGGAATTAAATAAGAGTTGAAGAAATTAGAGTCATGAGTTGTGTGAGGAACAAGTTGAGCAGAGAATTTGCAGAGTTGTAGATCCAAGAGATTGTATGAGAGTTGAGAGAGAAAGAGGGAGAGATAAAAATGGAGGAATGAGAAGGAGAAGAATGTGCAGAAACTCCATTTATGTGCTCAAAGGGAGAGAGGTGGTGGGCCTTTGAGAGAAAGACACAGCACATGCGGGCACATGGTGTGCATGGCCCACTAGGGAAACCCTAGAGAATATAAATTTTTCTTTTAATTTTTGTTTTTAAGAAATTGAAAAGAAAAATATAAAAAAAGAGAGAGAGAGAGAGAGAGAAAAGATTTATAGGATGAATTAAAGGTCCTCTTTATGTAATGCAAACCTAACATTTGTAACTTGTTATGAATACAAACAAAACTCATTTGGTTTGTGTTTAGACACAGGAGAGAAATCAATCAGAAAGACAGAAACTGAGAACTGAATTCAACATTATGTCTTTTCTCCTTTTCCTTTGATTAATTTAATTTATTATCGACTTCACATTACCCAAAATGCACTTACTTGGATGAGAAAACTATATACAGTTTTACAGAGACATCATATCTATGTTCTTTTTCGGCGGTTATACTAATTATTTTTTTTAAAATTATTTAAACTTATAATAGGGATTATTTAGGGTAAATCTTATATTATTCAAAAGAAAATAGCAAGCAATTATTCGGGATTGTAGATGAAGTGTGTTGTGTTCTTCTTTGTGGCATCAACACATGAGATGTGTTTGATGAGGTTACAGAAGCAAGAAAGCTACAAGCCAGAGTGAGAAAAGGATGGATTATTGATGAAAAAGCAGTCTCAATTGTCTTTGAAAAAAAAAAAAAAAAACATATTTTAGAATAAGCTGCATGCCTTTTGAAATTTTAGAGAACTTCATTTTTTAATATATATTTCTGGTGGGTGAGAATAAATAAATAAAGTTTCCATCCATATTTAATTAAATAATTCATCACTGTTCTATCAATTTCACCATAATGACCTCAACACTTTAGCATGAATTTGTAGTTTAATTGATAGCAATTTTCTCAAGAGAGGAAGCCCTTTAATTTGTTCTACCCGCTAATTTTGCGAACTTAAACACATAAAATTTAATTTAAAGGCTAAAAAGTCAAAATATTAGCCTATTTGAAGCTTTATACAAGAGCTTTGGTAACATATAGTATATCTATAATTAATTATCCCTATATTAAGAAGAGAATAAAGCATTTAATTTTAATTTGAGCACTTGTTTGTTTTAAGTATTCTTGAGAGTTCTATTCTATTTAGCTAATTTTGTCACTCATTTATTCTTATTAAATCTAATTAATTAAACTAATAAAATCAATGTCCTGTTTGGACAATCTCGCCCAATAATCATAAATCGTTCGACTTAGCATAGTTTGTTATTATTATTATGACATTAATCTTGAGATATAAAATATGCAATCGGTCATATATAATCTAGTTTTTCATTAAAGAGAAATTCTCAACTCATTTTAATAGAACCAATAACATTATCAAACCCTAATTAAACATATTTAAATATCATAGATAAAAACGAGAGGTAATATTATTAATAAGTAAAGAAATGAAAGGGGCCGGGGGGGCTCGAGGGTTTGAACTTTGAAGTGACAAACATGCTAAGATAGATGAGCAATAGAGAGAGAGAGAATTGGCAGGATCCGGAAAACATGGTGAAGTTGAGAAAGAAAATGGGTCCTACGAGAAGAGAAATTCTAGGGCATGGGCTTCGTCTATTGAGAAAAAGGAGTCCCCCACATGGTCTCCACATGGGGGTTTTAAAGTATTGCCCTTGTGAGGCCTCTCTCAAACCTCTAATTTTCTTTAATAATTACTTGTTTTATTATTTTTCCCCCTTTTTTTATAAACTCTAAGATATTTTTATCTTTATAGATATACTCTTTAATTTTTCCTATTTAACTTGTATATGATACATCATCAGATCACATATTTGGTTTTGTGAAATTACAATACAAATAGTGTCGTAATATATATCTTTAAAATCAGCGTAATATTGGGTTGGTATAGTGATTATTTCAACACCATTAATTGACAATAAGAAAAGGCACATCGCAGAAACTATTATTTCTGAAATAATTTAGAGTAATACGAAATTAAACAAGTATTATTACACAAATATCATACTAGTAAAAAAAAAAAAACCCGTAATTTATCTTGATTCGCTTAATTAACAGACTACATCTAATAGAGTCAATATTATTGAAATATCTCTTCACCTCTCTCGTTACTATGAATATATTTGCCCTATATTTTGCTATTGCACTCATACAAGAAAAAAATAAGTTTATATACTATGTTTAAAGAGTAAAACCTAATATTACTGGAATCCATTTTCTTAAGCCTAAACCCAATTAAGAATTTAATTATTTAGAGAAATCCTATAACGAAACCCTCAAATGCGTCTATGTAGCCTCTTATTGTTGAAGTGACCGATAACTCCAACAATTTCTTATAATGCTAATTCATTTACTAAATATATAAAAGAAATAATATATATTTTTTAACCGAATTGTATGTTTCCAATATTAAATTTTGTAAAATCAAGATAAAATTAAATTGAATCCAAATGGGTTTTAATGATTTTTTAATTATAAATAAAATATATAAAGAGTCAAGAGAGCAACAAATCAAATCAAGCTGATGGATGAGATAAGTTAAGATTAATTTAACTTGAGGGTGGGTCCAAAATGGATATAAATGGCTACATTTTGATGTGGCAAACTGTGTTTGATTAAGAAGAAAATTAGAGATTCTCCTTGGTAAACGCATGCGTATGAAACCCTTTTCTTTGTCGTGCATTTTGTTCCTTTTCAAGTGCCTACTTTGTCTCTCAAATCTCTCTCTCTCTTTTAACAATTCTTGAAAGCTTATGAAATTAATAACTCAGCTTAATTTGTGGCATTTTGTCTATCTTTTGAAGCAATGGGACCTTTCATTTCAACGGTAAGATAACCGTTGTCTCCCCACTATGTATCAATTTAGAGCAATTATATTAGTGTTTACTTTCATGCATACACATAGATAATAAAGTTTATGTTATGTTTTCTTACTCTGATGTGAATGAGTTTTAACGTATACGCCACTAAAATTAACTTTTAATTTATACTTTTCCAAGAGATTTTGCCATTTGGGTTCTTGGTTATATTAACATGGGATTTATTTAATGTCAATACTAAAAATTATTGAGCTATTGAGATATATAAAGCAATGGATCAAAGTAGCTTAGATGTTATGGAATATTGTGAGGCTAATTAATTAAGGATGTCTTGTCATTGTACAATTCCTGTTTATACCCATTTTTAACAATTTTCACACAAAAGCAGTTTTTTTCTATTTCATTATGTTGGTATCTAGTAACTCTATAATGAGTTGATTAGACTTTTGCACGGAATTTAATAATTTAAAGAATGTGACAATTCAAGAAAGTATGCATTTTATTTCTTATGTTTTAGAAAGAATGCAATTTGCAGTATTGTTTACATACATAATGAGATCAATAATATCAACTCAATTATTATTATTAGAAAGTATTAACCCTTTATCATAGAGTTTTGATGCTTTATTGTTTTTTTATTTTTTTATTTATGATCGAAGGTGTTCGAGTCAGTTTACGCGCACTTAAACTAATATTTCGATACCCTGAAACTACTATTCGAGTAAGAGCTCCAATAACCACCCCTATTACAGTCGTGAGGACTTAAACTCGAGAGACCATGTTAGATCCCCTTTTTTTTTTTTACCATTAAATGGATTTAAACTTGAGAGATCATATTAAACCCATATTTGGATAAGACTTCATATAAGGATTTTATTATATTTTCATAAGAGACTTTTGATGATTTAAGGGTTTTTTTTTAATAAAAATATTATACTTTTTAAAACTGTTACTACATTTAATATTAATCGATCTCAAGAAAAAAAAAAGAAAAAAAAAAAAAAAGAAATAACCTTACTGACATATATTAAATACTTTATTTCCTCATAATATCTTTATCTCACACATCCATATTGAACATGCTAATATCTCAGAAATCTTAAATCACATTAATTGAACTCTTGTATTTATCAATTTAACTAAGAAATAATTTACAAATGTCCCATTTTTCTTATACAAATTGTATGAAGTATATTTGAAATAATTTAATGTGAAATAAATGTATAGAGAATCATTCGTAATATATAAAATTAAATTGAAAACAAAAAGAAAAAGAAAAAAGGGAAATAATACAAGTAAGAAGTGTTTGAAAAGCAGGTGCAGAGGGTCCAAGCCACCGGTCAAGCCAGGTGGTCAACCCCCGTGATTTACGGCTAACCTTTCAATTGACTCTCTTGTACCTTACATCGTTTAATTTTTTTTAGATTTACTTATAGATCCTTTGGGTCCATTTATAAAATCGAATGGATGATAATATATGAGTAATTGCGGAACAGTATCATATCAATTTGTATGTGTAATATTATTTCGTATATATTTTTTATAATGATATAAAATTATCAATATCATGCTCTACATTCACTTAGAAATGTTATACCGAATTATTTATTTTAAAAAGAATTTAATTACATAACCCTTTTTGTGGATTTGAATTTTAGTAATTTAGATTTAATTCTTCGTTAACGAGAGTTAATTCTTATATGCAATTTTTTTTTTTTTTTTTTTTGTCAATGAAAATAAAAAAACTAAAACTTGCATGTAAGAGTTTAAACCCATATTTTAGATTCGCACTTGAGAATTTCACTTATATAAATATAAATCTTTTTTAACATGAAAATTTATTGCTACGTCGATTAACTTTAAAAGAAAATTTGATTTAACTATTATTTTTTAACACGATGATTCTCATATTAAAAAAAAAAAAATTTGATTTGGACATCAATAATCGAAAATTTGACTGAATTTTTTCTATTTAGAAAAAAAAATAAAAGTAAAAATGAGATTATACGTGATTATGAGAGCGTGTAGTGGGCGTACAGCGAGCGTGGAGTGGGAGGGCTATAAGATCAGAGGTGGTGGTGGAAGAAGAGGGCTCATTACAATTA